GCACATTTCCTCACTCTGCTGTTGTCTTTAGTCTCTCTTCTCTACATGTTTATTGTAATTATTTCTGTCAACAACATGGCTTTTTCATTTTTGTCTCGTTTCCAGAAGTATGTGCACCTGGACCAGTCCTGGACCAGTTCTTCTGTGTTTACCTGTGTCTCTTTCCTGTCCCCCAACCCAGCCGGTTGAGGCAGACGGCCGCCTGTCCTGAGCCTGGTTCTGCTGGAGGTTTCTTCCTGTTAATGGGGAGTTTTTCCTTTCCACTGTCACCAATGTGCTGCTCATGATGGGAGACTTTGATGAAACAAAGATTTGGTGCAGTTTGCTAGCTTCTTTAGATTTATTGTATTTTTGTGTACAGTGCCCTGAGACAAKAACTGTTGTGATTTGGCAATATATAAATAAACTGAATTGAACTGAATTACCAGGATTCAAGGAAGAGACCACAGGTGTTTCTTATGGTACCAACAAAAGTTTGGTTTTWGTATTAATAAGAATTGAGAAATGTAAATATTTTGAAATTAATCTGTTGAAGCTCTAAATGAGTCACCTCATGGTAAGAAAAAAATCTTACATGCCCTGTTGGAAATTCCTTCACCCAAAGAAAAAAAAGTGAGACAGCCAGGGCAGAGGCAATAAGGTACAGAACAAATGATGCTTTACCTTTGACTGACAATGCCCTGATGTGGAAATCTTGGGAGAAAGTGTTACTTTTACTTTCAATCCTCGCTAAATGGTACCTGTGTATTGTCAGCATCAGTGTTCCATCAGAGTGAGTTTTTTAGTACTGCTGTTAACAAAGTGAATGCACAGAGAAGTTTTCTACAACCATATTATGTGGATAAATTGATATTTTTGAAAAAATAGTCTGCCATGCTTGATATTTTGTTAAARGTTAGTGTACTGCTGTTTATTAATTTGAAAGTAGTAGCAGGTCCAACCACCAGTCATTTAATCTGAAATATATTGTTTGCATTATATTTTTGAAAAGTTTTGAAAATATTTTATGCTGAAAAAACACATTTAAAAGAAGCAGGTAAACCCAATTGTTACCTCAACCTGAAGATGCTGGTTGCAATTAATTTCAGTATTAGCAGTGGTGGGCAGAGCTAATTCAAAAGTTAGTTCCACAAATTCTAAACAGCTAATCATTTTCTTTAGTTCCACAAGTTTTAAAGCACAAATGTCATAAATATTTTAGTGGAAGCTAAATAGATCCGCAAAATTGGCTCAGTTCACTAGAATATAGATATTTCCAGTAATAATATGTGCCATTCTTGCACAACGCTGCCATCTAGTGGCAGAACAGGTTTCAGGAAGTCATTTATACAAACAGATGTGTTATTCATGGTGTTGATTTAAAGTAAAAAGTTGTTGTGGACTGCAAGTTTTGCTACTTCTTGGTCATTTATTTTTCATATGTTTATGGCTTCGGTAAGAAAGCATACAATATATTAGTCATTTTAAACTGTTTCTTGGAGAGCTGAAGCGATGCATTCTGGGTAAAGAACCAAGTGGAACCCATCATTTCAAAATAAGAGCCTAAATTTAAACTGCCGTGTGTTGCTTGCTTCAGTACGACGTGACATGAGACAACAGGTTGATGGATGAAGATTCAGCATGTCATAAATTATTATAATGCCTCCATCTACCCTCTCAAAGATAAAATAAATATATAAACAACAATAATTATGGGTGGACTGTTGGGGAAACTTTTATTTTTTTTGTTAACAGTGGGTTCTAGAAAAAAAGATGTGAAAACCATTTGAATAGGAATAAACCAGCTGTGGCTCTTTTAACAACTGGCCTTAGCCAAAAAAATCATTTTAAATAAATATAAATAGCATGAATTAGTTGCTGGTGCCTTTTCTCAAGTGTGTCCCTCGCTGTGTGTGTG